TCTCAAACACTGTTTTCAGTTTTTCTAAATTTTTTTTAGTCTGAAAGAGATATTCAAATATTTGTCTTCTATCTAGGACATTCTTTCTACCTCACCAAGTCTGTTCTTAATGCTTTTCACTGTATAGTTATTTGACATATTGACCACTTCACTTCTAATATTTTGAGTTGATTTCTCTTCAATATCTCTTTCTCTCAGTAAAAGTTTTCATCCATGTTGTATATGGATTTCATTCTCTTGAATTTGTTTCTCATTGTTTTGAGTAATCTTATGATCTTTCTTTTGAATTCTTTTCAGACATTTCATCAACCTTTTCTTCTTCACATTCTAATACTGAATTACTCTGTGTTTCTTTGAGGAAGTCACATTGTCTCTCTTCTTCATTTTTTTTCTTGTGTTTCTATTTTTTAGGCATTTGTGGAACCACTTGTTCATTTTCTCTTCTGATGGCATTTATCTTTGAAATATGCCTCTTGGCTTAGTGAGTGTTCCTTCAGTGGATATTCAAAGGTGTGTTGGTGGGGACAGGAAGCTCCAGTCAGTGCTTGGGAGTGGTGCAAGTGTCCAGGGTGATACCCAAGTTGGGCATGATAGATCTTTTGTATTGTCAGCAAGGTGGAGTGTATGATCACATCAGCTGGTGTGAGCCTTGCTTCACCCTCTCTCTACCAAGGTATTCAATGACTAGATTGAGCCCCCAGTGTCTACACAACACACCCAAGCAAGCACATCTACCACACTAAGACATAAAGACCTGTGTGGGGCTCAACGTGAGCATGTTTCCCTCTGTAATAACTCACTATAAGCATTTAGGGAACTCTGAGCCTCTGAAGCCTGACAGTGATTGCTGAGAGACCCAGCAACATCCCACACATTGTCACGAAGTCACAGAATTCCCATAGTCATAATGCACAGGGCTCCCACAGTCACAAGGAACAAGAGATCCACTCTTAGCCCAGTGAGCCTGCTCCACCCATGGAGAGAGCTGAGGGATTCCCAGAGCCTGCTGCCTGTTGGTGTTTCACCTTGGTAGTTTGAGAGTACAGTCACCCATGATAGAGATAGGATAGGGGAGCACCTCACAGTCTTAAGTGGGTGCCCAACCCCCTTCTAACTCCCCTGAGAAGACTCAAAGTCAGTAGTGACCATGGATTTATCCCTCAGATAAAATCCCCTACTTGTACATGCATGAGCTACAACTGCCTGCACTCGCCTTATCAAGACGAGGCCTTCTCCCTGCTCATTGCCGGGAGTCTTTAGGAGGGGATGGGAAGCAGGCGATGTGCTTTCCTTTCATGGGGTTGGGTGGGCACCCTGCCTCTCCGCCAGATTTAAACTCAGTGTGGTCTGCAAGGTTCTCTCTAGACAATATCAGCAGGGACAGGGTTGCTGCACTTTCTGTTCTTTCACTTCTAAGAGGAATATGTCTCCTGGCTGCTCAACATTTCGCTGCTGGGTGTGGCACTTTGTAGGGATCGGGGAAGGGAAGGAAGCAGTTTCCCTGCTCTAAACCCAGCAGTTGCTCACGTCCCAGTCAGCTCCCCAGCTCCACATGATAAGAGATTAACACCCAAAGTATTTAAGAAATTCAATTCAATGGTAAGAAAAGAAATAATCTGATTAGAAAATGGGCCAAGAGAATGAATGAACACTTATCAAAAGAAAACATGCAAATAGCCAACAGATATATGAAGAACATGTTCAACATCAGTATACATCAAGGAAATGCAAATTAAAACCACAGTGAGGGGCCAGCACTGTGGCTCACTTGGTTAATCCTCCACCTGCGGCACCGGCACCCATATGGGCGCCGGGTTCTAGTCCCATCTGCTCCTCTTCCAGTCCAGCTCTCTGCTGTGGCCCGGGAGGGCAGTGGAGGATGGCCCAAGTGCTTGGGCTCCTGCACCTGCATGGGAGACCAGGAAGAAGCATCTGGCTCCTGGCTTAGGATCAGCATAGTGCCAGCTGTGGCAGCCATTTGGGGAGTGAACCAACGGAAGGAAGACCTTTCTGCTGTCTCTCTCTCTCTCTCTCTCACTGTCTATAACTCTACCTGTCAAACAAACAAACAAACAAAAAAAATCCATAAAAAAAAAACCACACTTAGACAACACCTTAAATGTGTTAAAATGACTATTATCTAGAAGAGAAATATATAAGGGTGGGAAGGATGTCTTGTAAACTGTTGGTGGGAATGCAAATTAGTATATCCATTATGGAAAACTGTGGGAAATAAGAATGCCTGAAGCCACCCACCCACCAAAGGATGGACTCAGAAACATGAAATAAGCAGAAAGTGAGGCTTCTATGGCTACCTGGTCTAGAGAATGGTGACAAGCAGGTGGAAACATGCAACTCCCTCAGAGCCTCAGCTCTTTCTATCCCTGGTATGCAGAGGTCCTTTCCCCCAGGTTTCTCATTGGATGGGAAACTTTGGAGGTACAATAAAAACCCAACATGGCACTAAGGCAGGGTGTGGGAAGGGTAACAGGGGTGGGTGTCGCTGGGCAGATCTAGGACAGGGGAAAGCATCAAGGCTCCAGGAACTGAGGTGCAAGAGCATAGTGTGACAGGCATCCAGTGGCTACAGATTACAGAACTGCTGAAAGTTGCTAAGATAACAAGTGGTGAATGGTTTGCAAAGCCACGCAGCCATTGATCTCCTTTGGGTTTGCAACACTCTCTCCTACATGCTACTGAAGCCTAGTATCTTGACTTCACCAAGGTAAGTTAAATTTTTATGAAAGTACTCCATGATCACTTCTCACAAAACTATGTGGACATTCCTCAAATTTAAAAATTAGATCTATCACATGATCCGCAATCCCACTACTAGGTATATATTTAAAGGAAATGATGTCAGTGTGATGAAGACATATCTATACTCCCAAGTTCATCAAAGCATTATTCACAATAGTAAAGATAGGGAAGTAACCTGATGAATAGATAAAGGAATCTATGAATAGTTTTTTTTTATAATATGGCTTTGCATAACCTTTTGGAAGTTTCCTTAATATGCATGGATTTGAAATTTTTTTGTACCAACATAAATTTATCTTTTAAATCCATCTTTACTCAAACTTTTAAAAAATATATATGTATTTATACATATATATGTACATACATATGTTATACATACATACGTACAACATATATATGTACATACATATGTTATACATACGTATGTACATATATATGTTTTTCAGTCTTATACAAAAAATAAATCCTGTCATTTGTAGAAACATGGATGAACCTGTAAGACATGCAAGTAGAATGATCCAAGCACAGAAAAACAAATATTGCATGATCATAATTACATGTGGAATCTTTAAAGTCAAATTCATAGATGTAGAGTAGAATGATATCTGTCAGGGGCTGGGAGGAAAGAGGGGAGAATAGAGAGATGTTGGTTGGAGAATACAAAGTTTCAGTTAGGGTGAATAAGTTCTGGAGATGACTGGTACCTACAGTTAGTAATAATGCATTTCATACTTGACACAAATTGCTAAGAGAGTAGATCTGAAATGTTCTTACCATGTCAACAAAAATGGTAATGTGAAATGATATAATTATATTACTATAATACATAACAATATATTATATAATATTAATATATTATGTTAATTAGCTGATTTTAGTAATTTCATAATGTATGCTCATGTGTACTAGACATGTGCATTTTTTATCTCCAGCAGCATCTCAATAAAGCTGGAGACAAAAGGAATCCTGAACCTCTGTCTTAATTGTCACAATAATATAGGACAAAGCAGTAGAGAGAAACAAGAAAGGAGAGAATTATATTTATTTATATAAATATATATATTTATATATTTATAATTATGCATTATAAAGTATGGGGAAAGATTGGAAGGAACTATAACCCTTTTCTTTGAGTAAATTCCTCTAGAAATTATCTGCTGACACCTGGTGATCACAATCCTGTTATCCATGCAGTTATAAAGACATGTACCTGGAGGGACTGGATCAGATGCAAACAAACATGATGTATTTTGAGATACACACACACATACACAAATATGAAAGACAAGCCTGTAAATATATGTATCTGTACCTACAGATCTATCTATCATCCATCTACACCAGTATAGAGAGAGCTAGATCAAAGGCCCCTCATGCAAAGTAATGTAGACTGATGTACCATGGCCACTTACCACCATTAATGTCATGCTATCTACAAAACACAGTTTGCTCTTTTGGATTCTCTCCTTTCTTGTTCCATATGCAGAATTGCAGCAGGATTTAGACTGGTGGCTACTCCTCTTACAGCCTGACATTTAATTTAAATCTTTAGGGCTGGAGTGCTTTTTGTTTGCAGTGGTTTAGAACAAGGAGGCAGAGTTTAAAAAGAAAGTACTCGGCCGGCGCTGTGGTGTAGCGGGTAAAGCTGCTGCCTGCAGTGCCAGCATCCCATATGGGCACCGGTTTGAGTTCTGGCTGCTCCACTTCCGATCCAACTCTCTGCTATGGCCTGGGAAAGCAGTAGAAGATGGCTCAAATCCTTGGGCCCCTGCATCCACGTGGGAGACCTGGAAGAAACTCCTGGCTCCTGGCTTCATATCGGCTTGGCTCTGGCTGTAGTGGCCAACTGGGGAGTGAACCAGTGGATGGAAAGCCTCTCTCTCTCTGCCTCTCCTTCTCTCTGTGTGTAACTCTGCCTTTCAAATAAAAATAAATCTTTTTTTCAAAAATAAAATACTCCAAATGTTGAGAGGAATCAGCTAAAGTGATTCTCCGGTGTTCTGAAACTGTGGACCAGGGCTTCTGTTTTTCTTGTTTCCAAGTTTTCAGGTATTTCCCCTTCTAATGTGGAGGTGACTACACATCACAGTCAAACAAAGGCATAAGCAAGGGAAGTACAGTTTGCACATAAATATATAATGCCTCAACCAACTGTTGACCTTGCCCTGCAATTAGCTGTCTGTTCTTTAAAAATCAAGCTTTGGAGCTTCCTCCTGCCACTGGCTGTGTAGAATAAACAGGAACAGATCCCTGAAAAGGAGAGCTGTGACTCCAGCTGGCACTCTGTGGACACAAATAACATTTCAGCTTTTGATTGATGAAGCTTATTGGGAAACTCTAACCCTGAAACCAAGGCTTCGATCAAGGAGACTGTGCAGCTGTCATTCATTGGAGATAAAACGAGAAAATGACGGAGAAGCTATGCATCCACAGGTGCAGTGCCTTCCAACTTTTGCTGGTAGGCTTTAATGGAGTGGGGAGAGGGCAGAGAGCTGTAGACCAGTGGTGCTTTGCAAATGGCATGTCGCAGCCCTTTAGGGGGATGGTCAAATTGTTTTATTTGGGTATTAAAAATACTTTTAATGCAGAATACAACTGGGTGGGATAAAATAGAATAACTAGAAAATATCCAAGTACATCACATGTAGTTAGGGTAAGTATTGTTTTAGAAGGATTGTGGTTTGTGTGTGTATGTGTGTGTGTGTGTGCATGTTCATGTGTCCTGAATTGGGACTTGGTGTGGTTTTATTCACTCTGGATCCCAGGAGGTAAATTTGAGAACCACAACCATAATTTAGTTCTTAAGCCACATATTCACATACTTTTGGGATTCTGAGTTTAAGAGATAAGCCAGACACAGAAGGACAAGTACTGCATGTTCCCTTTCATATATGGAAGCTAAAACAATGTCAATGTGAACTTAAAAAGGTGCTTATAGGAAACTGAGAAAGTGGTGGGAGGAGGGGTAGATTTAATCAGCTTTGCTGCCCTACAGTCCAGTGGGCAACTGTGATCCACAATCATGTATTCTACACATATAAAGAACTGGAGGAAAGGAGCTGGTAGGCTCCAAATACAAAGAAAAGATAAGGAAATTTAAAAGGCAACTGCCTGATTTAGTCAGCTGATACTGTATTTATGTGCTGAAATATTGTACCATATGCCATAAAACTCTACAACTCTTTCATGTTAATAAAATTTTAATTAAAAACTAGAACTAAAATATTGAGCTACCAAAATTTTTTGTGTTTTTTTTTTATATTTACTGAGCTTTTCTTGAGACTAAGTTTTTAAATTTTTTTTTTAGTGAGCTTTTCTAAAGACAATAACTCTTGGGCTTTTTGGCACTGTTTACTGACAACTTTGGCATGAGGGGATAAAACCCAAGATGGAAACAAGTGTCCTAAAAATATTAATGGGGGATTTATTGTGAAGCCTCTGGGGGCAGAGGAGACATGAGAGGGAGTGCATCAGAAAACTTGTGAGTATGCGTGTGCACATGTGTGTCAGAAAGATTTACAAACCAGGGTTTAGTAGAAGACATTTACTTTGGGTTAATGAAGCATTTACTTGGGTAAAAAGAAGCATTTACTGGGGTCAACAATGCTACAGCTTGCTGTCCACACTGAGTCTTCAATGAGAGAAGATGCAGAGGCCTGATGTGACTCCACACTTGTAGAAATAACTTGAGAGTCAGAAGCCAGGAATCCCTCAACTGGTTCTGATTCCTGCCCCAAGGAAGAACTTTGCTTCTTATTTCTAATAGAACATAGAAGGAACATTCTGAAAGCCTAGGAGACTCTCACCCTGTTCCAGAGATTACTGAGGAGGAACCAACATACCCAGACCAGTGCCATGTCTATTTGATTTCTTGTGTGACTATTTCTCCTGTCCTGTCTTGCAGGATATTCGTTTTGTTTCCAAATGCCATAGCTCGCAAGTCACTGGTGTTACTGATATTTACAATAGTTTTCTGGGTCATATACTTGGCTTCGGAAGACCACATGAAGGTAGGAATTGATTCCTTGTGTAAACTTTCACATAAAGTCACAATGAATGACTTCATTCTAATACCCCCTGCCTGAAAGGCAAGAAATAAAAGTTGAGAGGGTTCCCTAGTCAGCATTGCTCTTTTGGACAATATGTACTCCGTTGTTGCTATTTCTTAGGGGCAGGTGGAGCGTGGCCATCTCAGTGGTTTTTGGCACAGCCAACCAGCCCACCTTTCAATCCTTCCTTCTTTAGCCTCGGACACTGTACTCCAATTATATCTCCAATTAAGTTCCCTGTCTTATTCAGAACATTTTCATCATCTTTGTGTAGTCTGATTAACATGTGTCAGATTTTTCTTTTCCTGTGGTCTGTCTTTCTTTGTTCCTTTTCTTATTAATTTTTTCCAGTTTTTATTTTTTATTTATATAAGATGAACTCTGGCCTCATAATCAGCCCTTAAGGCATGCGGATCCGGCTGAAATGCCCATGAGAGTATTTCAGGCATGGAAAGCCAAGACACTCTGGGGGAAAAAAAAACCTAAATGAAAGATCTCCACAGGTGAGATCCCAGTGGAAAGAACAGGTCATCAAAGAAGGAGGTACCTTTCTCTGAAGGGAGGAGAGAACTTCCACTTTGACCATGGCCTTGTCTAAAAATTATCAGAGTCAGTGAACTCAGGGGGCTTCCATAGCCTTGGCAGCTCATGACAAGAGCCTAGGGTGATTACTGATGCCATAAACAAGAGTGTCAATTTGTTAAGTCAACAACAGGAGTCACTGTGCACTTACTCCTCATGTAGGATCTTTGTCCTTAGTGTGCTGTACATTGTGATTTAATGCTATAACTAGTACTCAAACAGTATTTTTCACTTTATGTTTCTGTGTGGGAGCAAACTGTTGAAATCTTTACTTAATGTATGCTAAACTGATCTTCTGTATATAAAGAGAATCGAAAATGAATCTTGATGTGAATGGAAGGGGAGAGGGAGTGGATAAGGGCAGGGTTGTGGGTTGGAGGGACGTTATGGGGGGGAAGCCATTGTAATCAATATTCTGTACTTTGGAAATTTATATTTATTAAATAAAAGTTAAAAAAAAAAGATAATGGGAACTAGCAAAAGAGCTTAGAGCATACTCAGGAGGTTTCTCTTCTTGGGTCATCTCTCCAAATTCTGAGTTCTTTAGATTTCTTCCTTTGATCTTCTTTTCTTGCACACTTGTAGGACTTCATTCATACCCCCCATACTCCTTTGTTACCCGTATTAGTGTTTCTTAAAGTTAGACTTGAGGGCTCTCTGCACCAGAACTTCCATGTTTGTGCCTGTGTGTGTATAATGCAGATTCCTGAGCCCTACTCCAGAGTTACTGAAAGTTTGGGGGTTGAGCCTATGTTGTATTCACAATCTCCCCTGCTGATTTTATATAATGCTGAAGCTTAACAACCTCTACAGTGTGTTCCCAGAGCAGAAGCCACTTCTGAGACCCACTGCTGTACATGTGTTGTTCATTGGATGTCTCCACTTAAGCCTCTCAAAAATGCTGCCCCACCCACATACACAAATACACAGTATGAGTGGGCCTTTGAACTTGTCATTAAGACACTTGTATCTCATATTTGAGTACCTGGGTTTGAGTCTATCTTTGGCTCTGGAGTCCAGCTCCCTGCTAGTGTAGATCCTGAGAAGCAGCAGGTGATAGCTGAAGTGGTTGGGTCCCTGCCACCCAGTAGGGAGACCTGGATGGAGTTCTTAGCTCCTGACTTCCACCCAGTTCAGTCCCAGCTGGTGTGAGCATTTGGGGGGTGCATTAGACCAGAATTCTCTACCCCCTCTCCACCCTCTCTGCCTCTTAAATAAAAAAAGAAAAGGTGGGCAAGACATATTTAAAAACACACTCTGAATCTGTTCTATCTCACACCATCTTCCCTTGGAAAAACAAACAAAACAAGTCTACAAGACCTAATGGAAAGAAATTTCCTGTGCTTTCCTGTATCTCTCCTATCTTGACTACTGACTGCAGACCATGTAGTCAACCAAGCAAAAACTCTCGACTAGGTAAAAACCAGTAAGTGTTAGAAAACCTGCCTCTCAAATCAGACCTTTTTTTCTCCATCCATATTCCTTGCTTTAAAGTTTAGTCCTTTGTCATTTCTCACTTAAAGTGCTGAAAAATAGCTACTAATTAATTTCCCTGCCTTCAGTCTCCATCAGTTCTAACCATTCATTCAACAAACATTTGCTGTTTGTACATTGTTTCAGGTTTTGATATAGACACAATATCATGGTTGTTTTTAATAATTTGAAATTACACTTCTAAAGGAAAATTTGAATATGGTACTCTAATCACCTTTAGTTTGGTATAGGTGAAATTCCTTGGCATATTGTTTCATTTAGTCTCATTTGGGTAAACGACACAGAACTTCCATTGTCCCAAGACATTCTTTCACTGCTGTCTCATCTACCTGCTCTTCCTTCAGGAGTCCACAAAGCTAACTTTTTAAAAAAATTATTTATTTTACTTGAAAGTAAGAGTTACACAGAGAGAGAAGGAGAGGTAGAGACAGACAGACAGACAGAGAGAGCGAGAGAGAGAGAGGAAGAGAGAGAGAGGTCTTCCATCCGCTGGTTCACTCCTCAGTTGGCCGCAATGGCCGGAGCTGCGCAGATCCAAAGCCAGGAGCCAAGAGCTTCTTCTGGGTCTGCCACGTGGGTGCAGGGGCCCAAGGACTTGGGTCATCCTCTACTGCTTTCCCAGGCCATAGCAGAGAGCTGGATGGGAAATGGAGCAGCAGGATCTCGAACTGGCGCCCATATGGGATGCTGGCACTTCAGGCCAGGGTGTTGTTGCACCACAGTGTGACCACAAAACTAGCTTATTACTTCCTTCAAGTCTTTCCTCAAATGTCATCTATTTGATTCTAGAAACAGCCCATCCTAACCTCTTAAAATTCCTCCTACCCTTTTGACTTCCTTTTTGCAATGGTGCTTTTCACTCCCTGCTGTACTCTATGAGTTACTGACTTATTATGTTCTTTGAATATTGTCTATCTTGATCTACCATAAGGTAACATATAAGAAGGAAAATATTTTTGTATTTATTTGTTGTTAACTTCCAAGTATCCAGAATATTGTGTGGCAAAAGGAGGTGCTTAATAAATAATTGATAAATAAAGAAAGATTGTTCAGTGATCTAGGTGAACGGTAATGGTAACTGAAAAATAGAACTAACAATAAGGATGGAAAAAAATCAATGAATTTGAAATAGAATTGGCAACAATAATGATTGGCTAGGAGGGTAAATGGTGGAGTTAACCAGGAACTGCATTCTAGGTTTGCAGAGCTATAGGGCTGTGATAACTTTCATTGAGTATATGAATATGTCAGAGTATGAGAAATACTGTTGAAGAACAGAAAATTAATTTATACAGAAACAATTTATATTTGAGATCCTTTCAGATCATCAAAATGGAGATATATCTTCAATAGACTATTGAATATGTAGATCTGAGTAAAACATGGTTTAATGGGTTAAGGTGCCATTTGGGAGGCCTGCATTCCATATTGGAGCACTTCGAGTCCTGGGTAGTTCACTCCTGATCCAACTTCCTGCTAATGCACCTGGGAAGCAGCAAGTGATGGCTCAAATACTTGGACCCTTGCTACCCATGTGGGAGACCTAGAAGACATGTTCCTTTCTTGGCTTCAGCCTGGCCCAGCCCCAGGCATTTGATTTTTCCATTTGAGGAGTGAGCCAGTCAATGGAAAGTCAATCCCACTCTTATTCTTACTGATTTCAAGTAAATAGTAAAACCTAAAAAAAGCACTGGGCTGAGATGTGAGTTGTAGGAGAGAAAGTGGGGAAAAGGGATGGAAGAGAACTTGCAACATATAATTGGCAGGAGTGGTGACTAAGTGAAAGCATGATAGTTAAAGGAGAACTGGAGTCTCAAAAAAGCACTTTGTTAATATGGGAGATACTTAAGTACATTTAAATTCTTATGGAAAGAGGCTAATGGAAAAAGTAGGAAGTAAACAAGAAAATATATGGTTATATTAAGTTAAACAGGATACTAGGAAGTGTAATTGCCAGCTAAGTATCATGGGTCTACAATGCTGACAAGTTTCAAAAAAAAAGAGATATTGGTACTGGAGGAGTACCTTCAACATAGATCTATTTTCAGTTAACTTTATACTCATAAGATTAACTCTACACTAAGTAGAGGGATTAAAAAGTAGTATGAAGAAAAATGTAAAAAACAAAAACAGACAAAAAACATTGTTCCTCAACAGTCAAGACAAGGGCTGGTCAAAATCACTGCATCACAAAATGTCAATTTCACTCCAATAGATTACCTTTTAGGTACTCTATTAGCTACTACAGATTGGAGAGACCATATGGTGTTTTTCTTTTTGGGACTGGCTTATTTCATTTATTTTTTTTTTATTTATTTTATTTTTTTATTTTATTTTTTTTTGACAGGCAGAGTGGACAGTGAGAGAGAGAGACAGAGAGAAAGGTCTTCCTTTGCCGTTGGTTCACCCTCCAATGGCCGCCGCGGCCGGCGTGCTGCGGCCGGCGCACCGCGCTGATCCGATGGCAGGAGCCAGGAGCCAGGTGCTTTTCCTGGTCTCCCATGGGGTGCAGGGCCCAAGCACCTGGGCCATCCTGGGACTGGCTTATTTCACTCAGTACAATGGTTTCCAGTTGTATCCATTTTGTGGCAAATGACAGGATTTCATTTTATTTTTTTTACTGCTGTGTAGTATTCAATAATATGCACATAGCATATTTCGATATTCAGTCTTTAGTTGATAGACATCTAGGTTGAATTCATATCTTAATATTGTAAATTGAGCTACACTGAATATGGCGTACAGCTGACTCATATACTGATTTCATTTCCTTTGGATAAATTCCTAGGAGTGGAATGGCTGGGTCATATGGTAGGTTTATATTCAGATTTTAGAAGTACCTCCATACTGTCTTCCACAGTGGCTACAACAGTTTACACTGCCAC